TTACTGTATCTCTGCAGTATAATTTGAAGTTGGGAATTGTGATGCTTCCAGCATTGCTCTTATTGTTAAGAATTGCTTTGGCTATTCTGGATATTTTATTCTTCCACCAGAATTTTAGAATTTTAGTAGCCCGCTCGCCTGGCATGCTCCATCCTCAGCACCACATACAAATAAAGATGTTGTGTCCGCTGAGAAACTAAAAAATAAATATTAAAAAAAAGAATTTTAGAACTTTTTTTTAGAATGTCATTGGTATCTTGTGGAGACTGTATTGAATCAATATATTGTTTTTGGTAATATGGCCATTTTTACAATATTATTCTGTATATCTAAGAATTTTGTCCTTCAGTACTGTAAAATTTTCATTGTAGAAGTCTTTCCACCTCCTTTCCACCTCCTCCTTGGTTAGATTTATTCCTAGGTTTTTAAATTTTTGAGGCTATTGTGAATGGAATTATTTTCCTGAGTTTTCAGTAGATTCATTGTTGGTGTGTATAAAAACTATTGATTTTTTTATGTTGGTTTTGTACCCAGTTACTTTGCAGAATTTATCAGCCCTTGAAGTCTCTGGTGGAGTTTTTTGGCTCTTCTAAGTATAGGATCATATGCATTTCTTTAATAAGTATGTTAGGCACATAGAAGACACAATGAGAAATAAGAAGACATTGGGAATGTCCTTTCTTTTGGAGAATTGTCTTCTATTATCTAGCAAAAGCTAAAGGGCATTGATTTTTAAAAAAATATTTTATTAGTTGTTGGTGGCTCTTTATTTATTTCTTATGTGGTGCTGAGAATCGAACCCAGTGCCTCACATATGGTAGGCAAGCACTCTACCACTGAACCACAACCCCAGACCAGCATTGTTTCAGTGACTATCATAGGGTAATTTACCTATGCTCAGTTAAACACAGGTTGAAAAATGAAAACTAACTTTAAATTTCAATTCATTATTAATTCTCTTTTCTCTTTAGCTACTAGCACAATTTTTTTTTTTTTTTTTTTGTTCCAAGGACTGAACTCAAGGGCACTTAACCACTGAGGCATGTCCCCAGCCCAATTCTGTGTTTTATTTAGAGATAGGGTCTCACACAGTTTCTTAGGGCCTTGCTAACTCGCTGAGGCTGGCTTTGAACTCATGATCCTCTTGCCTCAGCCTCCCAAACTGGGATTACAGGCATGTGCCACCATGCCCAGCTACGACAAAATTTTGATCTGATAGATTCAGAATTCTGGAGATTTTATTTATTTATTTATTTATTTATTTTCAAGGTTGACAGTCTATGGTAATTGAGAGGAAATAGGCTGTAGCATATTAGGCGGATTGAGAGTCACCAGCAGCCAAAGTCAGGGGTTGTGCAAACAGCTGTGCTTAGGGCCCTCTCTGCCTCACATGGTGAAGAAAAGAAAAAGAAGGAGGTCAAGTTCTAATTCAGATGAGAAAATGGTCCCTAGGATTATTTTCTATTTTATGTTTTTTTAGTCCTAAGGATCAAATCCTAGGCCCTGCACATGTTAGGTAAGTGCTCTACTACACCCAATCCAGATTTAATTTTTGTCTTTTAAATTTATTATTTATTTATTTATTTATTTTTGCAGTACTGGGATTGAATTCCAGGGTGTTCTTCCACTGAGCTACATCCCCAGTCTTTTTATTTTTTTTATTTTGAAACAGGGTCTCACAAAGTTGCTGAGGCTGGCCTCAAATTTGAAATCCTGCACCAGTCTCCCAAATCACTGGGATTACTGACATAAGTCATAGTGCCTGGCTAGATTTTATTTTTTTAATTTTTAAAAATTAACTGATTAATTAATTTTTTGGTATCAGGAACTGAACCTAGGGACACTTAACCACTGAGCTACATCCCCAGCCCTTTCAATATTTTTATTTAGAGACAGGGTCTCACTAAGTTGCTTAGGGCCTCACTAAGTTGTTAAGGATGGCTTTGAACTCATGATCCTCCTGCCTCAGCCTCCTGAGCTGCTGGTATTACAGGAGTGTGCCACCAGGACAGGCTACTTATTTTTTAACATATAACAAAATAGTTTAGATTAGTTCAAAGGATGTTACTTTTATGAATGTTACCAATTAGGAAATAAGTGGCAATCTGCCATCACTGGATTCTGTTTTTTCCCCCTTCCAATTCATTAGGAACTCCTGAGTCAGCTCTAAAGTGGATTCTATTCTAACTGGGCTAATCAAAGGGACTTATAGCACAGATGAACCAGAAGCAATTTATATCTGTCTTAAAGTATGTTAGAATACTCATATTTCCAATTTTCTGGGGCAAGGAATGACTTCAGACCATTAGTATTTTCCACTTTTCAACTAGGTGTTAGGTGAGGGTGGGAAATTTTACACCCCAGATCCTCCCACTATCCACTTTTTATCATCACTCTGGGCTTACCTGAAATGGCACCTCCTCAGAGAGGCCTTTTCTGACCATCTCATTTAAAGTAGCCCCCACTGCATTGCTTCCTATTCCCTTATCCTGTTCTTCATTTTCTTCATATCATGTAGTCACTTACTTGATTATTATCTGTTTCTCCACAAAATAGCTGGAAGGTAAGTTCTATGAAGACAGGACCATTGCCCTATCCTCAGCACTTTTACAATCAGAAGGCACTCAATAAATAGCTGTTCACTCAACAAATGAATGTATTAAAAAAGTCAGGTTTTGCAATCAGACAGTCTGGATTCAAATTACAATTCTACTATTTTTGAACAACTATAGGCAACTTACTTAATCTCTATGTCATAGCTTTCTCATCTCTGGCAAGTGGGGAATATCCTTTTTGGGGATGGTGGTGTGAAGATTAATGAAGGATCAATGTAAAATGCCTTACATATGGTAGATTGTCACAACTGTTAGTTTCTATCTACATCCTCTTTATTGAGACTGTATCAATATTATACTTTTACTTTTCTTATACAGTACATTTACTCCCACCAGAGGCAGAGTTATTATGAAATGAAGTTTAAATTTCAGGTACCCTCATTTGCACAAGCCCCAGACAGAGAGTAGAAGAGGAGAAGCTAGTTGCTGTTCTGGAGATGGAAATTGCTATGCTGTATAGACTTTGTATCACTAAGCTATACCCCAACCCTTTGGAAGCATTTGTATGTAAGCATTTCTTTCTTTCTTTCTTTCTTTCTTTCTTTCTTCCTGCCACACATCCGGCCCCTCTCCTTGGACAGTACTGGGAACTGAATTCATTTACCCAGTCCTTTATTTTTGAGACAGGGTCTTCCCTAAGTTGACCCAACTGGCCTTAAACTTTTGATCCTCCTGCTTCAGCCTCCTGAGTAGCCCTGATTAGACATGTCTCTGTGTCCAGTATGTGTAAGCATTTCTTTTTTTTTTTTTTTGAGAGAGAGAATTTTTTTTTTTTGAGAGAGAGAGAGAGAGAGAGAGAGAGAGAGAGAGAGAGAGAGAGAGAGAGAGAGAGAGAGAATATTTTAATATTTATTTTTTAGTTTTCGGCGGACACAACATCTTTGTTTGTATGTGGTGCTGAGGATCCAACCCGGGCTGCAAGCATGCCAGGTGAGCGCGCTACCACTTGAGCCACATCCCCAGCCCATGTGTAAGCATTTCTAATAAATAACCTAAAGATAAGTCAGACTTGAGCCATTAGTTGTGATTTATTTTCCCTTTTTAAATATTGTTGTTTCTTAAATTGGATTTAGTATTTATTCTTTTTAAAATATTGTTTTGATAATTTTGTAGTTACAATTTCTATTCTATTTCTTAAGTAGATACCCCAAATTGTATGTTTCAGGACCTACAAATTTAATCCACTCTTAACCCAACCCATTTATAGATTCTATTAAGTTAGCATTAAGTGCCTTCAGGAAGTCTGCATTAACACTCTCATAGTAGCTGCTCTGAGATGATTTTCTGGTCTGCAATGGGACTAGTATGTTAACAGTTCTTAAAATCATGTGTTTGCAGTAATTTTTGTTTTACCCGTTTTCAGCTCAAGGTTAGACTTTAAGTTGAAGTACATTATAAAATAGGTCCCTGGGTATCTTATGAAGCACCAACTAGATTAAGTGATTCTCCCTTCTGAATTTCTATTTGAAGTAATAATAGGATTCAGAACATTGTGTTTGGCTACAGTGTTCAGTGGGCCTAGAGACTTGAAAGTCCACAAGTCTGGGAATCACCATTCTGAACTTCACTCTTTCCTTAAAGACATCTCCAATCCTATAAACTGTAATGGAATACCACCCAATCCATAACAACCATTAGATTATTTGTGGATGCAAAGTACCATGAAGCCCTCAGAGAAAAGTCTTGTCTTAAAACTAATGCCTTAAGTAGACTGACAGTAGTGGTATTTGTAGGGAGTAGTAATTTCTACTCTGGATTTGAAGGTCCACAAAGCCTTGTTTTGCTGAGGCCTGTCCCACCCCACCTTCCTCTTTGAAGAACTGCTAGCTTCCCCAGGATGGAAATTTAGCCCTGGGTTCTGGTCCCTCTCTCTCGTGGACCTCCTGTGGTTTGAATTCCCCTATTCCCCAGCTGGGTCAGGTCCTGGTGCGTCCGTGCTTTCGCCGCCCACGTTCCTTCCACACTCTAGAGGGAGCCCGAGGGCCTTGCGCCCGCCAAGGGTTCATTTTCGGTGAGGCTGTGGTTCCCAAGGACTTTGTTCCAACACCTGCGGGGCCGCGTCCTCAGCCCATTGGGTGCCTCGGCAAACCTGCAGTGTGTGCCCTCACCGTATTCAAGAGCGCTCCACCCCACAAGCCAGACTGATGCAACGGAGACGCCCTGGCAGGTGCGAAGGGTGTGACCTGCTGGGACCCTCCCCGCCCAGGAAAGCCTGGTTGGTGGGCCTCCGAAGCTCCCCCGCCGAAATTCTGTCCCACCTGCCCGCCAGTTTGTACAAGGCTCGGTCGGTCCCCGCAGTCCCCTCCCTGTCCGGCTCCAGGTAAAACCTGGAGTGGAAACCTTCGGCCGCTCCCGGGAGGTGGCGCAGCGCAGAGGAGTGAGCATGCGCAGTACGCAGGGCCGGCTCTCAGCGCCAGAAGGAAGCGTTCGCCGTGATCCCAGCGGCTGCGCCGGGGTATGCGGTACCGGCTAACGTGGCTGCTGCACCCCGCGCTACCCAACACCTTCCGCTCCGTCCTTGGCTCCCGCCTGCCCTCCTCGGAGCGTCGCTGTGGGTAAGTGGACAGAGCGCTCGGGCCCTCGGGGCTCTCGGGTCACGGTGGTTTGGCGCTCGGGTTGCAAAGTGGTGATTCAGCACTTAAAGCCGCCGCCGCCGCCCCTCACGCTGCGGGTCCCGCCGGCCTGGGGCGCCGACGGCCGCGCTAAGGCCGCCCCAGGGCCCGGAAGGGCGGCTTGCCTGGCGGGAGCGAGGGCCCTGGCCAGGCGTGGAGGGCGTCTCTCGGGCGGCTAAGGGCAGACGGGGGGGCAGTGACCCGCGGACACGGGACGTGTGCCACAAGTGCACGGGGCGCGGGGTCGAACCGAGTGCCCCCGGCCCGCTCTCAGGAGCCGCGCCACTGTCGGGCAGTCTGCCGCCACGGGCCGGCAGCCTGAGGCGGACTCCTTTGCCATGAGGTGAAGGAATCCGGGGAGTCCGGGGAGACCGATGCTCACCCTGCTCTGAGCTTTTTCCCTTGCGGACTGTGTCCAGGACGAGGGAAATGCCCGCGCTCTGAACTGTGAAAGTTTGCCTCCCTCCGCGGTAGTGAGGAAACAGTGTTGAGTTTCCTGTCGAGGGAAATTTGGGAGCCGAAAGATAACCTTGGGATCCTCCGCAACAGCTGTGTTGTTTTACACCTGACACAACCGAGGCCTAGGGAGATGGTGTGATTTCCCCACGATTGCAGAGATTGTGGTAAAACCAGGATTAGGACGCGGGTTTTTGGCCGTCCTCCGGTGGCGTGCTCCCTTCACTTCTGCGCTGCTCTGTGTGCACTACAAATTTTCAGTCTTGTAACGAACGCTAAATACCCCTTACTGTGACTAGAAGTAGATCAGTTCACCCTCCAGGCATTCATCAATAATATTTAGGACCAATAAATGCAGGGCACTGTGATAACACTGTGTAAGTATGTGGTCTGGCTTGGTTGGAATGGTTTCATAGGCCATGAAAGTACAGCCAGCAAAAAAAGAATGAGTTTGACAAGTGTCGGAAAGTGGGCAGGATGGGCAGTGTGTACTTTAGGAGCATGGTGAGGGGCAGAGATAGATTAAGGGTCTAGGCTGTGCTTTGAAGGAATGGCAAAGTTGGTGGAGTGTGGGCAGGTGTCGGTGTAGTCCAATCTGGGTGTGCAAGTATTTTGTGTTGGGAGGACAGTGAACAGATTAATTTAGTTGAAGCTTTAGAGAATTTCCCTGGGAACACAAGTCCTATATCATAACAGTAAAACAGTGCAAGCCTGGGCCTTGAATTTTAATTGGAATTTTCACCCCAATTAAGTAGTTGAAAAATAATGAGTATTAGGTAAGGTGTCATTAAGAATTTTGAGCTGGGGTGATCTAATGAAACCGGTAGTTTAGAAACTTTGGTGGCTATGTGCAGGATGTAAGGGAGTAAGAGAGAGAGTCCTGGGGTAGAGAAACCTGCCATTGGGTCTTAGATTTTACTGCATTGGGCTCTCATGGGAGTAGCAATAATACTAAGATGGACTAATACAAATGAAGACTCTATAGAATTTGTTTTCCCTTCTCTATTCTCCACTGTGCCACTGAATCCTACTACATTTGAAAAGATCCCTGGACATAGAGAAGTGGCAGGCCCATTTAGCCTAGGCAGGGTGCCTCTTTCTGTCCTCTTCCAGATCAGAAAGCTTTCTTTTGTTCTAAATTCATCTATTGATAGACTAGGCTTTGCTCATATTGTCTCCAGCGTACAGAATTTGTAGTATGAAAGGAAGTATCTGTTTTAATAGTTTTATACAACTAAATGATTTGTATGTTCTAGTTATAATTAGATTTTGTCTATGGCTTTCTCCCTCTGCGCTTCATTTTCATTGATGAAGTTCATGACATAGATTGACCAATCATACCTTCAAGATAGGGTTCTCAGAGAGGGAATTTTGGAAGATTCAAAGCATAATGAATGAGATCAACCATCTAGAAAGCTCTCTTCTAGAAATGAGTGAGGGTATTAAGGAAAATACAGTTTTAATCAAAGGCATCAGGACATAGTTTTAGAAAGGAAAGCACCACATGACCAAATCTTTTTGTTGTTGTTGTTGTTGTTGTAGATGGACACAATACCTTTATTTTATTTATTTATGTGGTACTAAGGAACGAACTCAGTGCCCCACACATGCCCCACACATGCCCCACACATGCGAGGCAAGTGCTCTTCCACTAAGCCACAACCCCAGCCCTGCATGGTCAAATCTTAAGGAACTTAATCCTACTGTCTATAGTGGGAAGAATGTGTTAATGGAGATGACCACAAAGCTATTTGACAGGAAGAGCAGTTTGGCATGAGAGACTTATACTTCCTTTGCCAGTGTTTGAGCATCTATTTTCTGGTCTTATATCTTGAGAAAGAAATGTGTGAGATTAATTTATTTTAAAGATCTTCATCTCTTCAGCCACATTAGGTAAATTGGGACTGTGTAGAATTATTTGAACTGTTAAGGAAATACGGAGGTAATAGCCCATTCCCTGGCAACCACTTGAGATACCTGAGGATCAGTCTTCTGTCTCTCCATAATTTAATCCTTATCCTCACTGTCATATTAATCTTACTAATATACCACTTTCCCCATGCCAGTGTCTTGCTAAGCCACCACCAATGGTTCTGCACTGCTTCAAGATCAAGTGCACACTTTTTTTTTTCTTACAATGCTGAGGATAACCCAGGGCTTTCTCGAACTATATCTCGGAGCTACATCCCCAGGTTTTTTGTTTTTGTTTTTAATGAATGATATCTTTTTATTTTTTATTTTTATGTGCATAGAAATAATACCTTTATTTTTACTTATTTTTTAWRTGGTGCTGAGGATCTAACTCAGTGGCGACTCAGACGTGCTAGGCAAGTCCTCTACCACTGAACTACAACCCCAGCCCCATCCCCAGCTTTTTTTGAGACAGGGTCTCACTAAGTTACCCAGAATGACCTCAAACTTTCTGTCCTCTTGCCTCAGCCTACTGAATAGCTGGGTTTACAGGCATCCCCCACTGCATCCAGCTCAGAATCCAGATTTATTGACCCAGCATTTAAGCATTCTTTCTGTTTGCTGGCCCTAGCCTAACGTTTCAAACTAGTTTTCCTCTTGTCTTATCAGACTGACCAATTTGCTCTTTCCTGTATATAATCTACTCATTCCCAATTCTAGAATGCCTTTCCCTCATTTTTAAGACTAAATTCTTCCTTCTCTTTAGACCTTATACAGACAGGACACACAGATATTTCCCTTTTCTAAATCTAATTACCTTTTTTTTTTTAAATCTACTTTTGACCTTTATGGAAATTTTTCTTCTGAATTGCTTTTTTAAATTAAATACTGTTTTTGAGACCCATTCATGTAGATCTATGTTCATTGCTAAATGGAAGTTATATGTTAATGTACCATAGATTTTGACTATGGCTTTCTCCCTCTGCTCTTCATTTTCATTGATGAAGTTCATGACATAGATTGACCAATCATAGCTTCAAGATAAGGTTTTTAAAAATATATTTATTTTTATTTATTTATTTTTATTTGGTGCTGAGGATTGAACCCAGGGCCTCACATGTTTGAGCAAGTGCTCTACCACTGAGCTACAACCCCAGCCCCCCTAGCCACATTTTAAGACTCATATGGCTAAGTGGATACCATATGGAATAGTGCAGATGTAGAACGTATTCATTATCACAGAAATTCTTTGAGGTAGACTTGATATTGATAATTCCCAAATATGTGTCCTGAGCCTTTCTTTAGTTAATACACTTCCCATCCGACCTTTCCCCTTGGATGTTTTGTATATATTTTATTTTTGTTTGGTTTTTACTGGGGATTAAACCCAAAGACGTTTAACCACTTAGCTGCATCCCCAGCCTCCCCCCCCCCTTATTTTTTTAAGAGAGAGAGAGAGAATTTTTTAATATTTATTTTTTAGTTTCCGGTGGACACAACATCTTTGTATGTGGTGCTGAGGATTGAACCCGGGCCGCATGCATGCCAGGTGAGCGGGCTACCGCTTGAGCCACATCCCCAGCCCCCACAACCCTTTTTATATTTTATTTAGAGACAGAGTCTGGCTAAGTTGTTGAAGCTAGCTTTGAACTTGTGATCTTTCTGCCTCAGCTTCTTGAACTACTGGGTCAATATATATTTTAAACTTATCACTTCTAAAATACACCTATCTCTTTTTCTCCCCTCTCCACCCACCTCTCTATATAAACAGATAAGTATATATATTCCTCCCCTCCCCCTCTCTTCCTCTGGTGAGCCTTGCACATGCTAGGCAAGCACTTTACACTATTATGTCCCTAGCTGAGAAATAAATTTTTGAGATATATTGCTTAACCGTGTGACTATAGTTAGTATGTGTATGTTTCCAAATTGCTAAGAAAGTAAAATTTAGATGTTCTCACTACAAAATATAATTGTTATTTTTCAATTAAAAAATGTAGGACAAAACAAAATAGAGGAACAACAAATGAGAGAGGGAGGAAGAGAAGGGGAAAGAAAATTAGYATTGATATATTACTACCATTTAAACCTCAGATCACTTGTCCCAGTGTGTTGTCTTCAGTTGCTTAAGTCTTCTCAAATTGGAACATTTCCAGTCTTTCCTTTCATGACCTTGACTCTTGGAATTTAGACCAGTTACTTTGTAGAATGTCCCTAATATGGGCTTGTCTGATTAATTATTCATCATGATTAATTACAGGTTACTTAATTTTGGCATGAATATCACAGAAGTGATGCTGTGTTCTCATTTCATTCTTTCAGGTGGCCATCAATTTTGATATGTCTCTTTATTGACAGTATTTATTTGGATCAGTTTAAGATAGTTCATCCAAGGTTTTTTCCCTCTAAAGTTAAACTTTTCCCCTTTGTTATAAGTATCTTTTAGGGAAGTACTTTAAAACTATTGAAATGTAATGTTCCTCATCAAACTATTAACTTTTTCATCTTATTTATCTATGTCATGTATTTATGATGTCCTATTTTATAGAGTTTTAATTAAAAATTCATTGTCAGGC